CTATAGCAATGCCGGTTTAACGTAAATTATGGACGTCCCCATATCGTTAATACAATAGACATCTCTAAGTTCATAATGTCCTAACCTAAGATATCTAAGACGTTAGTTATTTGAAAGAACGGATAATTTTTGAAATGTCTTTATTCATAACGTTAACGGTTAAAAATATTGCCTATGTTACTCCTAATTTTGTATCACTTGAAGGAGTACATATTCGTTTTACGGATAATCAAAGACATTCTGTATTTCAAAAATTTCTTGATAATTTAAATAAAATGGTTTATACGATACCTTCATTGATTGAAGATAAAATTTCTCCTTATGCAAAAAAATTAATTAAATTAGTTGACGATTTTGTTGAGGTCGGTTAGTAAAAAAATTAGAAAAATTTCTACAATTAATCAATTTATTTAAAACTCATATATATTTTATATTTTAGAATGATTGTATTCCAGCTGAATAAATTTATTTCAAGCAACTTGGTAAAGGAGAAGAAAGATTTAAAGTAATAAATAAAATTAATAAATAAAATTAATAAATAAAATTAATAAATAAAATTAATAAATAAAATTAATAAATAAAATTTAAAAATGATTCAATTTATATTCATATTTCGTTTTTTTAAACATCAATTAGTATGTCCCACCTATAATCGAAGAACTTAAGAAAAAAGCTAGATCATTAGGACTTTGGAATTTGTTTCTTTCAAAACTATTATTCTGAAGGTGTTGGATTAACTAATCTTGAATATGCACTTATTGCCGAGATTACGGGTAGATCACTTCGCATCGCTCCTGAAGTATTTATTTTAATTACTTATTAGTTTAAAAAAAAATTCTAATTAGGTAATCATTTTAAGGTTATTTTCTTTATTATGGAATGTTTTTTAGGCTATAAATTGTTCTGCTCCTGATACTGGAAATATGGAAGTCTTTGTTAAATATGGTACCCTTGATCAAAAAGAAAAATGGTTAAAACCTTTATTAAATGGTGAAATTCGTTCTGCTTTCGCTATGACTGAAAAAGCTATTGCATCATCTGATGCTACAAATATTGAAACTTCAATTAAACGTGTTGGTAACCATTATGTAATTAATGGTCATAAATGGTGGATTTCTGGTGCTGGTGATCCAAGATGTGCTTTATTTCTAGTGATGGGAAAACCTTCTTTTAATGCAAATATTCATAAACAAAGTGTAATTATTGTTCCTAGGAATACTCCTGGAATTACGATTGTTAGACCACTTACTGTTTTTGGTTATGATGATGCACCAGAAAGGCATTGTGAAATTATTTTTAAAGACGTTAAGGTACCTGTTGAAAATATTATTTTGGGTGAAGGAAGAGGATTCGAAATTATTCAAGGACGTTTGGGACCTGGTAGGATTCATCATTGGTATGTTCTTATATCTGAAATAATATCTTATAATTAAATTTGATCATTTATCTGTTATGTTAAACAATAATACTACAACAATACTATTTATGTTTTTGTTCTTAAAAGTATGAGATCGATTGGTGCTGCAGAACGTGGATTAGATTTAATGCTCATGCGTGTTACCGATCCTTCTCGTCGAACTTTTGGAAAATTATTGGCTGAACATGAAACTATAATTGCTGATATTGCACATTCACGAATGTTAATTGATCAAGCTAGGTTACTCGTTCTAAATGCTGCAGATATGATTGATAAAGTAGGTGCCAAAAGCGCCTTGAAAGAGATTGGTATGGCAAAGGTAATCATAATATGATTTATATTATTAAATTATTATAATACAGTAGTTATAATATTATATATATATATAAATTTTAATTAATCATGATTATATATGCATCTAGGTTATAGTACCAAGCATGTTACTTACAGTTATTGACCGGTCAATCCAGTCTCATGGAGCCGGTGGTTTGTGTGATGATTTTCCACTTGCTTCCCTTTATGCTAGTGGGCGTACTTTAAAATTTGCCGATGGACCTGATGAAGTACACATACAACAAGTTGGTAAATTAGAATTGAAAAGAGCAAGAAAAGTTAAAGAAGAGTATGAAAAAAGACCAAAAATTAAAAATGTAAATGCAAAATTATAATAAACCTGATTGTAGTAAATGTCATATATTGGTTAATAATGTGTATAAGTACAGTATAAACAATGTTTATTTGAAACTAATTAAATAATATGTACAGTACATAATCGGCATAGTAATTTTTAAATTCTTTACTAAACACAGGTCGAACTTTAAAATTTTGAAAATATTTTAGTGATATATCAGTGGAATATCGGACGTTTATAAACTGATAGCGACCAGATTTTCGGCGCGTATTACAACTATAGATGGGTGCTAAATTATTTTTGGCTTGCCGTAAATAAAAATTGCCAAAATATTTTAGGCAGCCTAAACCGTAAATAATTTTGGCAGCCGAAAATATAAATAATTTCGGCTGCCTAAAATAATTTCAAATGTCTAAAATAATTTCGGATGCAGAAATTACTTTTTTAGTGTCATTGTGCGTAAATTTTAACTGCCAATATTTTCAAGTTTTTTTTGATCATATATTGTTGCTTCACACTTATCTACTAATTATTTTCTTTAATTTTTTCATGATAACCTTGATCTAATTCTTTCGCTTATCTCAGATGCAAGTTCAGAAGCCTTTGAATATACATGTGGGTCTAAAGTATTTGAGTTTGCAGAAATATTTTATAATAATAAATTTTCAAATAATGAAATATTTTATAATTATGAACTATTTTAAAGCAATGAAACATTTAAAATGAAAATATTTATTTATTATCTAGTACTAGATAATGTATAACATTGTATGTCCGGAGCCCATATAATTAACAATATATGCTATGTACCGATGTGCCCTTATTACCTAAAGTACAAGATTATAAACGCGTGCGGATGGATAAAAAATTACCAAATTACAGTTTTCATAATATTTATACAGATGTATCAAAAAAAAGTAATGTCTTGTGTACCTCGTCGCTGACCGTGGGCATAGATCCTATTTATATTATGAAAAATGAATAACTTCGGAATAGCTGATTTCATATATCATCTTATATTATTATATTTATCTTGAAGACACTAGAATAAGTTATTTTTCTTTTTCTGTTTTAGGAGCACCGTCGAAAATTTTATAAAGAAGCTTGGACCAGAGAAAAGGAGAAAGTAAGTATAAATGTATATATGCTATCCAAATCGAAAAGTGTTTATCTTATTTACATTTTTTACTAATATAGCGACAAGCTATGGAACAGGAACGTAACGTTAATATAATTCAAGAGAATATAGAATTTATATTAGGCAGATGTGTAAGTAAATATTATAATTCTAATTTCTTGGTGTGTTTATTACTCATTGAGAAATATTATCTATAGAGAGTTAAGCTAGAAAATGGTTGCTCGGATGCTACTTTGGTCGCATATACCAAAATTGTTTGTCATTTGGAACGTTTAGATCTAGCAATAATTAAACCAGAAGTTCCTATAGCATCTGGTATTATTGATCTCTGGAAATGAAGACCCATTCGTAAATTTTTTATCGTCTAGGTCTAAGCAGATTTTGATGTATCATGAGTTCAGCAATAATGAATTTCCGGGAGAAATTAAATTCATGGTGGACAATTTCATAGACACGTATAAAGGTCTGAGACCTGATTTTGATCCTGTGTTAATGAGACCAATACCTTTCCACGGGGAGAAATGTCTGTTGAATCCAGACGTATAGTGATAATGGTTTTTGACTTGTTAGAAGGATTGTAAGTTATTCGTATTAAATTATAGTATATTTATATAATATTATATTATATTATATTATAATTAAGAGTATTTCTAGAGATGGGTTTCATGCGTGCACATGATTCCTTAATCGTGTGCATTAATGCACATTCATGCGCATGTTTCGGAATCATGCGCATTTTATCTCATCTAAATTTTATATAGGAAAATTGAAGTATATTTAATTTAGGCCAAGGAGCATATTTTCGGGCGGAATTAAGGAATATGAATGCGAAAGCCTCGAAAAATTCCAAAAAGAAAAATGAATGGACATAAAAGAAGAACATGATTGGAGTAAAAATTTGAGCACATGTCCGATATTTTTCGAAGAAAAATATAAATCCCAAAATTTATATCATGCGATATCATGTACATTTTATATAAAGTGCGCATTAATATGCATTTATGCGCATGTTATTATTAAATGCGATCACTAAGTATTTCTAATTCCAGGTAACATATTTGAAGTCTGAAATCATTATTAACGGAAGATGAATACAGCGAGAACTCATATGTAATTTATGCTGTATCGAAGGTTTTAGACCCAATCTTCACATATTCGAAGTGTTCCCTTAAACATGCATGGTAATGTATATAATTAATTATTTTTACAATCATGATCATTATAAATATGTAATACCTATTTCAGATTTGCTAAATACTATATATAAATTTTAACACATATAGGTCTGAGCAGACAAACAAGTCATCACAATCTAGGGTGAACCGAATGGAGGCTACAAATTCGGGAAAAAAGCCAGATCTACAAGTTTTGTAAAGGTTGACATGATGGAAAATGAAATAGTACTTGCTGAGGTTTCACGATTACTACCTCAACAAGATAAAGAAATTATTGACTGGAAGAAATTGATACATATTTGCAAAGATTGTTTTGATGAATGATATAACATTTTTTTTGATGGGAGAGATGATACTACTGATACAGCCAGATCGATTTATGTTAAGTTGGGGAAAGCTCCTGTCTTAGGTATCCAAGTAATATGAGATCATGTAATTATTTTTGCATTAGACCTATTTGAAGATGATTTTTATAGGGTTTTTCAAATTTGTGAGTTGGTTATACCATTATTTATTTCTTCTCATCAAATATGAAGAATTTTTAAAGAATGCTCTTAAATTGAGATTCATGGTAGAAAAAATTATTGTAATATCTGTTGGTGTGAAAGACGAAATCAGTCTTTTGCTTATAATTAAAAGATATCGACAACATATCCACCACCAAGAAATTCTTAAATTAGATAAAAAAAATTCTGAATATTGCATTTACTTTTATGTATATATTTTATGAATTATTGATATACATTATGCATATGATTGAGAATTTTTCTGGCAAAGTGATAGAGCATGAAATCTTTTTATACAGACATTATTCTATAGGCAATAGTATAGACATCATATATTGTGGGCTAGATCTAGGGATGGCAAATGATTTAAAACAGAATATTTTAAATTAGTTTTATATTGCTTTAAAATAATTTTTTATATGTTTTAAAACATTGTCACTGATCTTGTTTATCATGATTAATAGTTATCTCTTAAACTATCACTAGTTAGCAGGCAAATTTGACTGCTAAAATGTTAAAATTATGTTTTGATCTATTTTTGTTAAAATTTAAAATTTTTTAAAAAAAATATATATAATAATATTTGAAAATAAGGATTATAAAATAGTATTATTTATTTTTAATGGATTGGATTTACTGATTTGTACTAAAACTGGACAGTTTTATAAAATTCATAGAGATGCCAAAACTTAATAAAATTAAATAATTTTAAGATCTAAAAATCACTATATATTACTTTATTCAATAATATAAATTTTATTTATATTTATAATATAGATAATAAAAAAAAATAATTTTATTATCTGCTACAATTTTGCAAATATGGGTGTACTAAATTTAGTACAGTATTAAAAGCCATCATGCGGCTAACTATAAAAAAAAAATTTAAATTTACTTTTAAAAAACAGTAAAATAAACCTTAAACAATATGTAAAAAAAATATTTAACCTTGATGTAAATGCACCGTACAACAAACGAATATGCTGGGCCCAACAATCGGTACACATTCCCCGGGAAGCTGTACAGCTACAACGGGTAGTTGTACGATTATGACAGCTCATGCATCGGCGTTGAATATACTTTCCCTCATCCCGTGAAACTGCAGGATCACTATTAAAACTAGTAAGATTATGCTCAAAATTATCCGAATCTTGATTTCTTCTTTTTTTAGTTCGATCGGCAACCGACGTATTAGTATAGTATTCAAAGATCGATTTTGTTAATCACTTCCGAAAATCGACGTGCTTCATATCTCGTCTTCCCGGGACAAATCGACAATATGCGGAGAAGCTGTTGGCCTCTGCTACA